TTTTTTTTTTTTGGTTTAATACAAAAAGTCATTCCCATGTGCTACTAATTAAAAGCTAAATTAGAGATTTGACATGCTTAGGGTTAGATTGTTGAATTAAAAGTTTGACTAGTAATTATGTAGAGTTTGGTGGATGATTACCTATTTTACTAGTAATTATTTTGCGCATATGCAAAAATGTAATTAAAATATTATCAGTTATATTTGTAAATACAATATTAAATTAAAAATCAGAAAATGGTCATATCACATTTTTAAAATTTAGTCATTACAAAAAATATAACAATATAAAATAGAAATTATTTAAGTATATATGAATCACTATATTGATTGAAAAAAATTTGATGATAATGTACTTTAATTTTAAGGGATCACAACCTGTTAATTTAGTTGAAATTATTTATTATTATTATTATTATTATTGTTATTATTATTATAACAATAATTATTTATAAGATTTTAAGGTGGTAGCCCTAACATTTCGCGACCAGCAAAGATGTCGGGACCCAGGCCGCGTACCTCCTCTCCATTTTTTCTAATGGGGAAAAACTAACCGTTGGTCGAGCAAAAAAGCGGCCCGAGCTAGCTAGGCGATCAATCACTATGTGCATATATAACCCGCTTTGATCTTGTTTTTCACTGTATATCCTTCTACGTTTTGAGCTAACCACTCTTTTTCCTTGCAGGTTATGTCTAGCCTAGACCACATTCTCCATGAGGCTCTAAATGACGACTCTGATGAGATCACAAGCTGAAAGAAGAGGTTGGAGATATTGAGACAACCAACGTTAATCTGCGGGCCCTGGTTAAGCACACTAAAGGGGATGTCACTCGCTTGATCATCAAGCTTAAGGCCAAGACTACCGAGAATGTCAGCCTGCAAGCCCAACTAGTCCAACTGAAAACCTCCATAGATGAGCGCGTGGAACAAGCTCATGACGAGGGCGAAGCCTCCTTTTTGTCATCACTCCAGGGAGCTTGTTTCCTGGAGCACTATCAGCTCGAGCTGATGAGGTGTTTCAGGGATCTGACCAGGATATTCCCTACGACCAAGTAATAAAGTACAATTGTAACCGAGCTTACCAAATTAATATTTGTTTTTTAAAATATAAGTTAAATTTACAAAATTAGGATTTTTTTTTTGAAACAAAACTAGGATTTGTTATTGAATTAAAAAGAAGAAAAAAATTGACAAAAACAAATAAAGTAGTTTCATTTGTTTCCCAACAACCACCACTCACTCTTACATCACCAATCATCAACCTTTCCACTCTAACGGTCTAACCTCATTTTTGCCCTTTTACACACACAAATCAATCCATCGTCTTTGCTCACCTTCCCTTTCTCTTTCTAGACCTCCCTTTCTCTCTCTCTTCTCGCTTTTAATGCCTCAATTTCGGCTCCTTTGTCTGCCCTCTGTAAATTTTTCCTCGCCATAATCATCACCATCCTTTTGTTTTCCCCACCATTTCTCAACAATCTGGCAAATTAGCACTTAATCCGCAGGTAAAAACGTCGGTGCTCGATTTTGATGGTCGTTTTCGGGCTTTTGTTCGATGAGATCAGCGTCTGGGGATCGTGAGCTAGCAATTTGGGCTCCGGTTTAGGGTTTTCTGTATATTTGACGATGTTGCTTGGGGCAAATAGAATTTCTTGCTAAATTATCTTTGCTAATTTGTTGGATCCCACCGTGTAGATTAAGCATTCAGAACTTCCATTACGTTTGTCTATGCGCATTCATAGTCTCGAGACGGTTTTTGAAGTTTCCGAGAATTTGACACCTTCTTTTTGTTGGGGGGTAATATTTGATATTTGATATTTTTATTTTCTGCTCGAGTCCATTGCAATGGATCGTGTTGTGGGAGGAAAATATGAACTTGGGAGGAAAATTGGGGGTGGCTCATTTGGCGAGCTCTTTCTATGTATCCCCTTTAACTTTCATGATTCGGTTGATAATATTGGTTTTTATTTGTTTCCCCTCTTTTAGTTTTCCCCCTCTTTCTCCCTCGTTCCATTCGGATCACTGCGAGTACCGTGTTTCTTCCATCTGTCCAAAATTTATGTCAATTTGTTACATTGGTGTAGGTGTGAACATCCAAAACAGAGAAGAGGTTGCCATTAAACTGGTATTGCTTTTCAATTGAAATGCTCGTTAATAGTCTGTCTTTATGTTATGGTTTGTATGACTGCCAAAAGGAAAACCTAGAGTTGAATACTATCATGGGGCTGCCTAAATGATTTTGTTGTTTCCAGCGTTTGTTTCAAGGGATTATCAACTTAAATCCAATCACATGCTTTCTCTGTAGTGCTAGAATAATAATTGGGATTATCAACTAAAATCCAACAATGAGTGTAGCTGCTTTTATTAAGATCGAGGTACCTTTAAACTGGTTGACTTCGTCAAACTGTGCCTAAAATGCTACGAGCATTTTTAATTCAATTGATCATATATTTATGAAGTGTAATGTGTAATATTTAGGTTACCTTTGTTGAGCTAAGTTTTACTTGGACAAGTTGATATTTTTCGATATTATTTATGAACTAAATGATCAGAATGTCCGTACTTCGGTTACTATTTATTAGGAATCGGTGAAGACCAAGCATCCTCAACTTCACTATGAGTCAAAGATCTATATGCTTCTACAAGGAGGGAGTAAGTTCTCTTTCTGTTATCCCTTGTATTTATGTAGACTTATACATGTTTCTATGGGGAGTAGTCTGAAGAGACCGATACATATAATTAGATCCGAAATCGAAACTGTTGGATGAAGTGCTTCCTAATTTGCATGCTATTAATTATATTATCCAAGCTACAAAGATAACTAGAAATATCAATTTCAACTTTTCTGAACCTTATAGTTTGTTGTTGGCCCTTTTTGTTGCTGTGTGGCAGGTTGAGGATAGAATTTTAGTTAATATTTAAAGTTACTTATTTGCATTATGAATATGTGGTTGATGGAGGCAATGCCAAATCAATATTATGACTCCTCTTCATGGCTATTATTCCCGTCCTCCTAAGAAGGCTGTTTGACCTTTTTTATATGAGTTGAATATGTGTGCATTGATAGTGATTGAAACATCTTCTCACATCGTCACTTGTTTTTTCTCTGAGTTTGGATTCTTTAATGCATGTAAATGTGAGGGTTGGTTGATGGTGGTAGAGAATACTCTCTTTGGAAGCATGAATTGGAAATTATTTCATTTCACATGAATTCAACCGTATGTTCCCAACCTGAAGTGGTTTGGAGTTGAGGGTGAATATAATGTCATGGTGATAGACCTACTAGGTCCTAGTCTGGAAGATCTCTTCAACTATTGTAACAGGAAGTTCAGCTTGAAAACTGTGTTAATGCCCGCTGATCAACTAGTAAGTGACTTAAGAAATTTATACTTTTCCTGGGCTACAGTTTTAACGATCAGCTTCATTGGTGTTGACTAAGTTCGTAATTTACTTTATATTAACAGAGTCGAGTACATGCATTCAAGAGGATTTCTTCATCGTGATATAAAGCCTGATAATTTTCTGATGGGCTTGGGACGCAATGCGAATCAGGCATGCATTTCTATCGTTTTTATTTTTATTTTTTTATTTTTTATTTTGAGTCACTGCCACATGATATTTTATTTAACTTTTTCTTCTCTGGGTTTTTATTTAGCCTGTTTCTTTGCTAGGATTTTTATAGTTTATTTGTACTTTGAGTGACTGTTGAAGTTGTGTTACATGCTTAATGGTTTATGAATGCCTCTTGCCCTAATTGAGATCTTTATGATGGCGGTGCTGTATTGATGACACTTCATTATTTATTCAGGTTTACGTAATTGACTTTGGTATTGCCTAAAAGTATAGAGATCTTCAGACGCATAAGCACATTCCATACAGGTACTGTCAGTCATCTTTTGGTGGGGTTAGATATTTGACAAAATAGATATAAATTCACTTTGCATGTTATGCATCTTGTGGGTTTGTTGGGACTCCATCTGGGCGCTTCCATGCTATGTGATGATGTATTAGAAAATAGAGTAGTTTAATATCTGAACATAGTTGTGGTGTATATGAAAATTTCTATATTTAAGTTCTTACCAATTACCATCACTTTACTTATTTAGTATTTCTTTTTGAACATTTTGTCACAGGGAAAACAAGAATCTCACTGGAACTGCCCGCTATGCCAGTGTCAATACTCACCTTGGAGTTGGTAAATCATCTATATAACCAGAAGTTCTCATGGGCATTTCATTGTAATTCCTTTATATGTTTGTTCACTAATCCTGGCAGAACAAAGCCGACGGGATGATCTGGAGTCTCTTGGTTATGTCCTAATGTATTTTCTGAGAGGAAGGTGTGTCATATATTTTTAGATGTTTACTCTCTGTGTACTCTTGCCTTTCTCTTGCTACACGCTTCGTATCTTTTTCTTTCATCTATTTTTCAGCCTTGCCTGGCAGGGACTTAAAGCTGGTACCAAGAAGCAGAAATATGACAAAATCAGTGAGAAGAAAATGTTGACTCCTATAGAGGTTATTAGTGCCATCATTATGTTTCTGACATTTTGTATGGATTCTCCTTGTTTAAAATGCATGTTTCCGCATGTGTTGCCAAAATCCCAAAGTTTAGCTTTAACCTAACAGTTAGGGTTGTTATCGAACTAATTTTCGAATAGGTTCGTGATCTGTTCAAATTGTTCGACAAGTTCGTGTTCGTGTTTGTTGACTTTTTTTTTTTGTTTCAATTTTAATACCGTACAAGTAATATTATTAATATTTAATTTAATATATATCCATATTTATATTATATTATATATGTATACTACATATAATATATAAAATTATAAAATACTTATAACGCTTGATTTGTTCTCGAACTTGTTCATGTTCGTTCGATAACTAAATGAGCATAATTTCATGTTCGAGTGGATAGATTACTATACGAATGAGCTGTTATCGAACACGAACGAGCTTTGTTTGCGAACAGTTCGGTTCGATAACAGCCCTACTAACAATGCAATTTCCTTATCTGTTCATTTTGTTTGATATGCCTTCAAAATCTAGTCCTGCATTTTTTTTATCCTTTTCTGTTTCACTTTTTTAGATTAGTCCTGATATTTATATTTTCAGCGTCGGCAGAATCTGATGAAATGAGTGATAGTACTTTAATCCTCTGAAAATAGAGTAGTGAATATCATTATCTTGGTGGCATTCGGAGATTTTCTCATGTCCTGGACTTCGTAACTTGTCATTTGCTAGGAACACAAATTTATTTAAATCAATTTTTTAGATGCCCCTATCATTTTTTGTGACACAATAAGTTCTTGACTATCAGTAATTGTACTAGTGTAGATGTAATTAATTGCTTCAGCTTCATGATAAATCTTTGATGATACATTTGCAAAGACGTTTCTTGACTTACTTCGGACGCTTGCAATATTTATGTACTGTTGAGCAGATGAAAATGGCCCAAATCTTGCAGGCTCCCTCTCAACAACAGGATCAGTTGCAGCAACAGCAGCAGCAGCAGCCGCAACAACATTTGCAGCAGGTGAGTTCTATCTTATATAGTTATAGAGGTTCAGCCAAATCACTACAATGCTTTCCGTTAGTTTCATAAATGCTCACCTCGAAAGCATCCCTCCCATTGATCTATTGCTTTCACCAGAAAGAATTAACACATTCCTTTGACCTAAACAGAACTACAGGAAAAGAAAACAACACTCTTCATCAGGTCCTGCTAACAGCACACGTACAGGAAGTACTGTAGGACCTTCCCCTGGCTCGCCACAATCATCGCATACACCTGGTGATGGGATGGCCACTGCTAGCAGTATGCAGCATGTTAATAATGTGTCCAAGAGTATGATGATGTATGGTGTGCAGAAGGACCTGGTGGAATTACATCATCTACAAATCAGCTTGTAAGATTGGGTTCTTAAAGTGTTACTTTACGTGTTTCATTGGCTTGTGCATGAACCTCTATTATGAGTGTTGTTGCCTTGAAATTCTAAAGATATATTGTTTATCCAGGATGACTTGGAGACTTTTGGAGATGTTGGTTCTCTCGACGACAATGTTGATTCTTTTTTGTCGCATGATGGGGGTGATGGAAATCTATATGGCTCGTTGAAACAAACTCTTACTGAATATAAACCAAAGACTTCTAAAGGTGGTCTTTCTATCATCCTTATGCATTTTGTATCTTCTTTAAAATAGAACCTGCCCATAAGTTAAGATTTTGATTTTGGATACGTATGTCTGAGTTGCAGGTTTCTCATTCGGAGAAGTTGGTTGTATACGGACAAGAAATAAGGTTACTTGTTGCCATTTCTCTTCCGATGGGAAGCTGTTAGCTAGTGCTGGGCATGATAAAAAGGTACTGTCGGTCATGTTTTAAACTTAATGACCACAGTTTTATGGTTTTTTTCTAATTTATGTTTATGAGCAATTTAATAATGGAACCTCCTCTTATGAAATTATTACATTAATTTTTGCTTATTAATTTATTTGTGTTATTGTTGGTTTCCTCCCTATTTGGTTAGGCTGTTTTGTGGAACATGAACACTCTGCAAATAGAGACCACCCCTGAAGAACATCAGTTCCTAATTACTGATGTGCGCTTCTGGCCAGGCTCGACTCAACATGCGACGGCCTCATTTGACAAATCTGTCAGATTATGGGATGCAGCCAATGTAATTATTTCACATCCATGTTCCATCTGCAGAAGTTTTCACTTTTGACTGTTTAGGAAAAGCTCTCAGAGATTAACTTAGAGGGTGCTCTGAAAGGAACTTGGTTTTGAAATCTGAATCTTTAGTATCTTTTCAGAATGGTATAGTTTTCAATTTTCAGACAATATTTCACTTGTAACTATCTTTGCCAAGTGGTTTGCTTTTAAACCATATTTTGATGGGTAATACACTTTTATCCTCGCATTGAAAGTGATCATTAAAACTATATTCATTCAAATCCATGAAAGGTGCGGATCAGTATATAGGTTCACTGCCAATATGGCAAGATCTTCAACGTGCACCATCTCCACCCCTATTTTCATTTGACTTGTTTGCTGTTGTTTGCAGTAAATTCTAGTACATTCATCCTTGCCGCTGTGTACAGTAAATACTGTAAATGGTGCTTAATGTATAAACTTGGAAATGCAGCCAAGCTATTGTCTGCATGCTTACACGGGGCATACTTCCCACGTGATGTCCCTCGATTTCCATCCTAAGAAGAATGATCTCTTCTGTTTCTGTGATAGTAACAATGAAATTCATTATTGGAGCATTAGCCCATTTTCGTGCACTCGGGTTTCCAAGGTTGGATATCTCACATGGATCTGTGATCTCGATCATTTCATATATCTCTTCCTTCTTGCTCTACATTTTTTTTTTTCTAAACTAAGGACCATCTCGATTGCATGGCGTAGCAAGGAGGAAGTGCACAAGTGAGATTTCAACCCTTAAATGGACATCTACTGGCAGCAGCATCTGATAAGGTGGTCTCTATATTTGATGTTGAGAACGATCGGCAAACACATTCCTTCCAGGTGTGCAATTTAACTTCTTTTGCAGTTGATGTTGGTATGGCATGTTATAATGAGTTTCTATTGTTTTTATGGACACTCTGGCGTTGTGAACTACCTGTGCTGGGATCTTAGTGGCGAACTTTTGGCCTCTGTGAGTGAGGACAGTATTAAAGTTTTGTCGTTGGCCTCGGGAGAGTGCATCCATGAGCTTAATGCCAGCGGCAACCAATTCCATTCCTGTGTTTTTCATCCGAATTATTCTTCTCTTTTGGTGATTGGAGGCTTATAGGTAATCACTTATCCTATTTCTCACCCATGTATCTAACCCTCCAATAATAAGCATAACTCACTCTTGTTTTCAGTTTGTTAAAAAAAGAAAGAATAGTAAACAAAGAAAGGAGGAGTACCATTGGATTTAGTGTAACATCCCACTTTTATTTGCCGAAAATCAGAATAAGTTTTTCAAAATTTATTCCGAAACACTTGAGGCACTACTCATTTTCAAATCAATAATCAATACTTATCAAACAATCCAATAGGACACTAGTTTAGTTCAATAATCCAACAGCATGTATACGAAGCAATAATCAATAGTTCAACAATCCAATAGGACACTAGTTTAGTTCAATAATCAATACTCAATCCTCAGTACTCATTCATCAATAATCAATAATCCAACACTAGTTTAGTTCAATAATCAATAACCAATCCAATTATCCAATACTCATACAATCCTAGGGAATACATTCTCTATCAATAATCCAGTAATCAATAAGACAATAATAACAATAATTCAATTTCAAGCGGAAGCAATAACAATTTTTGTGACCACCACTCGTTTCCCTCCACCATGCCCGCCATACTAACATGCATCCGTGAAGAGCAGGTGGGGATGAGCACAAGAGGAAACAATAGTGCTCACCACTATGGAGTAAATGTTAGCCTCAATAATAAACAGTAATCAATAATCGAAAGGTAATGTCTCAGCATGTATACGAAGCAATAATATATTTCATCTCCCATCAATAATCAATAATCAAACTCATGTGCACACCTATATCAATAGACTACTGTTGGCTATATATCGAATGCCCCACCCGGTCTTACATCGAGTGCCAACCAGTAGGAGTTACCCTCGTCGGCCGAGCACTGCCCTGACTCACAACGGGGAACCGACCGAGCACCGCCCTGGTCTCATAATCCCGATCGAGCACCGCCCTGGTCTCATGCCTCGACCGAGCACGGCCCTGGTCTCACAGGCGCATAGGGGAGATTACCCTAACGGGGTCCGTTCTAACTACGAGAATAACCGTTCGACGGCTGACACAGCTCACATGGAAGGCTACATGTTACACATGCATACTTTGATCATACCACAAGGAAACAATAATAACGGTAATAACAATTACAGCATAGCCAATTTTCAAATTAAACCCACCTGGTCCGGCATTAACAATGATGCAAAAGCTCATGATAGATTCGAGGGCTCGACTCCTCGGCTATTCTAAAATTAAGCGAGATAATTCTCATAAATAAATTATCTCTTTAAGCACTTCTAGCAAAATAGTGAAACTCGAAACTCTCGGAAAAAGGCTCACAAAAAGGGTCACGAGGCTAAACTAAGGTTCCGAGTCCACAAAATTTCACAATTTAATCACACCAAATTTACACATATTACACAATCTCAATACTCAAGATCCGAAAACCACATTTTTTTTTTCTTAAGATGAACACATATTAATTCTTCTCAAAATAATCTCCAATCCTCTCCTTCCAAACGTATTGCCAATCAAATCAAATGGTATTTTAGGTAAACAAGAACAAATAAACTAACTCAGACCTCACTTTAACAATATTATTCATCATTCACAAACACATGAGTAGTTAAACCTCCGAGTCTGACACAATTTCAGCATGCTATATGCATTATGAAAATCAGCACAATTCACGACAATGGCAGCCAAAACAAGCATTAAGGTGTAAGGTTATGACAATACTAGATGCTCAGCAACTTCACAAAGTTAGAGTTATGTGTATATATATATATATATATATATATATATATATATATATATATACAATTTTCTACCTTATTAACCATAGACTATAAAGACAAGTATAGTTCCCTAAACAAATCAGTTTCAACATTCCCACCAACGGCCAACCAACACAAGCTCCCTCCTAAGTTAAACTTGAAAATGACTAAGATTACAAGTTCACAACAAATGCAGTATATAAAAAAATGCTTGCTATATGAACTAATTCATGCTTGGAGACATCACATTTAGAATCTTTAATTCATAGAATTACTAGATATGAAGCAGTCACTGCCATTACACACAGAATTCAAATAATCCAAGCAACTAACATCAACATTACACGAAAGTACAAAGATTAAAGGTGGGATTCGAAATTTACCCCACTACGAAAATACGCACAGACTGCGGGAAGCAAGAACCAGATTTTTCAGACTCGGGTTCGACACGCTCGGTCTTGTTTTAGCCCCACTGCTCGGGAGAGTCTGCCGCTACTCTCTTGTCTCGCCGGGAATGGCTCGACCCTGCTGCTCGAACACGAACGGGGCTGCCGCTACTTGTCCGTTGCGTGCACGATAGGCCTTGGACGGTTCGTCTCATCCCGGTGCCAGACCACGGTTCGTGGCAGCTAAACAGACGTGAAAGGGACTCGCCTCGGCTCACGGTTACTGTCCGGGGTGGCTCGAATGACGGCGGTTGGACAGAAAAGTCTCGCGGCGATGACTGTTCGCGACTTAACGGGGGCTGGGACTGAAATTCTCGTCGTTGGGAGAGGCTGGGTCACACACAGTACACTGGCGAAGGGCTCGCGATGGCTTCTTCACGGCGTGGCGTCGCCGTTAGGTCTCGACAGCGGTTCATGCCGGCGATAAGGGCTTCGATTTGCGAACAGAGAAAAAGGGCGACGGAGGGTCGTTGCCGGCGACTGATGGGCGGACGTCAGTGGGCTGCTCGAGCGAACAGAGACACGCGACGGTGATTATTTCTCGATTGGGCTTCTCGGTGTTCGCGTTCGACTGCTCACGACGGCGGACGCGCGCCGGTAGGGAGGCTCGCTTCGTGGTTGACAGATATATTGGGGTGCTCCACCTCGCGTTGATGGCAGAGATTGGTACACCGGCGGGAAAAGAGCTGCGATTTGATGATGGGGGGGGAGAGATCCATCGTGATCTGCTCAATTTGGCTGAGAGAGAGATTTGGGCGAGATATGAGATGGAGAAGGGTCTGCGACAGATAAGTGGGGAGAAGTCGAGAGAGAGGTAGGGTGACTTGTACGGGTAATAGGAAATTTCATGGGCCAAAATTCTTTAAGCTAGTTGGGCCGAAAAATAGACTAAATAAAAGGAAATTGGACTTGGGTCGTTAGAAAATAAAATAATTAGCTTGGGCTAGTATATTTAGGCAATTAACTTAAACACTTGCATATAAATAAGCATACAAATCACACTTAGACATAAAATAACACATAGGCATAGATGCAAATTTCATATAAATTCAAAGCACTTAGAATGATTTAATAAAACGAGAGCACACCAAATAATTTAAGAAGACGAGGACACCTTAAATTTAAATTTTCGATTGGGTGAATTTATTATGAACATCAAATAGACGAAGACATCTATTTAAATCTGATAAACTTAATAGGGTAAATTGTCGAGCACTACGATTAAAAATAAAAGCGAGGCGAATAATTAAATAATATAAAATATGCTAACTCATCTAAAATGAATGGTGCATTACAATCTATCATCCTTAAAATATTTCCGTCCTCGGAAATGCGAAAGAACACGCAACCTAAGGAAAACGACAGACTCGAACGAAGATTTTCCAATCATGATATCCAGGTATCCCCTCCGAATCTCGTCCCCTTTCACATGAGTCTTATTGCCTATACTCAATAGGCATGCACTCACATACAGTAACCAATCCGACTCGCCCTATACTCATATGTCTACCTTCTTGCTTGGGAGGGTGATCAGTCCTGCCCGAGCTCAGGCGCCATCTTCTTGTAAGGGATCCAGTCCGGCTTGGCCTATACCCATGAGTGTCAACAATTAACTTCGTACCTAACACACAAGATCTCAACAGGCCGTTCAGTGTATTGCCAGCATACTCCGACCATCTCACGAACAAGGTGGACACATGATGCGAAGTTTCAGTCTCGTGCCCGAGTTATACTGATAACTTGCTCACGATTTTATCACGGACCGAGTGTCTCCATCAGAGACTGACACGTATACAGCACACACCAGATGCTCATACCCATACGATATTGACTTCACGAGTCGAACGCAACCCTTATGTGCAAACATAAGAATTGACCAATTGCAATACGGCATTCCCAATTTGCCACTCGAGAAACTCTCAAATGAAGCATAGGGACCTCAATGACTACTCTCCTTAACCAGGAATCATCGATTAAGGATTTACACACATTTATTGGGACTTGGAGCTCTCATTTTAAGGTTCGAACGAAAAGGGTTTCAAAAGGATAACCAAGTATTCCAGCATGAAACGGTTTCAACAGCTTAGGAAAAACGTCAATGGTTGGCCGTATACACTGGTCTGGGGAGCTCGTGCGTACGGCGATGGCGGCTGCAGTTCGCATGCGAGTCAACGGTCGGCCGCGCGCAAGCCTCCCGTCTCTCAGCATGGTCGTGCGTGCTCGGCCACTACTTCGCGTGGCTCCACCCAGTCAAGGCCGGCGTTCGGTTCAAGGTTTCACAAAAAGGTTACAATCTCAGTTCACCAGAAGAAATGGTTTTACAAATTCACGAGAATTTTGGGTCGAATATATGTTTTCGGTCCTCTCACAATTTCATAGGTTTCAAATGTCTCAAAGATAGCAAGGGGCATGTTGGAGCTCCAAGTCCACTTTCTTCTCTAATCCACCGAACAACCTACGATATGTGTCGGGAAAAACTTCCCGAAAGAAACGAGGATCGGTTCCTCAGCCATAAGCAATCCCAATCCCGACGGTCACTACCGAATAATGAATGTTTATCTCATTCGACTCTTCCGACTGACAGTCACATCAGCTCTCGGTCAAGCAGCTAACCGTGCCGACAGTCATAAATAAGCTTCTAAAGATATATTGAATGAATATCAAAAGTGAAGGTGGCTCTGCACTTCACGATGCGCTTGTTCTAGGCTCGACTATCCTCCTTAAAATATTTCTGCATAATCTTCTAAGGTGGAAAGAAACACTCCTTAACATGCATCATATCACTCCATCTTCTTTATCGAACCGATTGGTGTTGACTTCTGCTCCCGTACGTTCGTCTTGATGCCGAGGGTGAATAATTATTGTCTTTCTCGAGGGCAGATTATTCATGAAAGTGGCGATAGAAAATTGTGCCCTCGAGTCTCGTGATACCTTAGCGATGACATCCAAACGGAACTCACATACTTCGCAAGCGAATAGAGGTAAGCGAAAAAAAAAAGATGCTTAATCTCACTTGCAATAGGGTTTTTTTCAAAACAAGGCCAAAACCTAACAAAACAAAGGTGGGGTTTGGACACGACTATACTTCAGACAAAACGAGAAAAAGGACTGGGCCGATTCCAAACCTCCGGTATCTATTGCATTCCCACTAACAGCAACGTTGCTCGTTCTCTTGAACTTTCCGCATCGAGTTAAAGGTATCACAACACAGGCTTTACATGACAAGGGCCAACAGAAAAAGAAAAATTTAAATATCGATGCTAAATCCCATCTGAAGTTCGATGCCGGGAAGGGGAAGATCAGGCGGAATTCTCAAAATACGAATACTGAACAACGAAAGAAGCTTCAAGCACAATTCAAAATCGTTGGCCATACAAAAAGGGAATAAGCAGCGGTTTGCAAAAGTCTATAACAAGACAAAAATTAGACAATGAAACAAGACTGCTTTGCCTCCACGACTCTACGATTCACGGCCTCCATCACTGGTTCAAGCTGTTTCTCGGTAAGTCCTGTTGTTGTTAGGAAATCGCTCGCGGCTTAATATACTGAAGAGGATTTTCGCAAAAGGATAAGTCATTATCGCCTTTGACTGGGTTCTAATCACGCATCCAATGGTCCTATCGACAACGGTTACAGACTCCTGAATACTAAACGACTGGACTCTCCGGTCATCTGCTCCCTTCACTTAAGCCTTCTCCTTTCGAGATGGCATTGCGAAGGGTCCTCACTTGAGGACACCAAGTCTTATAGCGAGAGCACTGCTATAAACAGAATTCAACTAGATAACATTATATCGAATTTGCAAACAAACAATTTCTCAAGTCGGAACTTAACTCTATACAGCTAGAGTTCAAGTTCATATAACTAAGTTCACACTCATCTAGAGTTCAAGAACGTTTAAAAGCAGGAGGATAAATTCCTAAGCCCCGATTTCACTTCAATAATCAATATTCAAGCTATGCACAATAATCTCAAAATCATTCAGGTACTCATACCTGAGCTGGCGCGGCACGACGAGAGCGAGTGGTCATAACTTATGGTCAAGCACATAATCATATAATTCACATTAACCAGTCTACAGAAACGCAGACTGGCTCTGATACCAAACTGTAACGCCCCACTTTTATTTGCCGAAAATCAGAATAAGTTTTTCAAAATTTATTCCGAAACACTTGAGGCGCTACTCATTTTGAAATCAATAATCAATACTTATCAATCATCAATACTCAATCCTCAGTACTCATTCATCAATAATCAATAATCCAACACTAGTTCAGTTCAATAATAAATAACCAATCCAATTATCCAATACTCATACAATCCTAGGGAATACATTCTCTATCAATAATCCAGTAATCAATAAGACAATAATAACAATAATTCAATTTCAAGCGGAAGCAATAACAATTTTTGTGACCACCACTCGTTTCCCTCCACCGTGTCCGCCATACTAACTTACATCCGTGAGGAGCAGGTGGAGATGAGCACAAGAGGAAACAATAGTGCTCACCACTATGCAGTAAATGTTAGCCTCAATAATAAACAGTAATCAAAAATCGAAAGGTATGGTCTCAGCATGTATACGAAGTAATAATCTATCCCATCTCCCATCAATAATCAATAATCAAACTCGTGCACATCTATATCAATAGACTACTGCTGACTATATATCGAATGCCCCACCCGGACTTACATCGAGTGCCAGCCAGTAGGAGTTACCCCCGTCGGCCGAGCACCGCCCTGACTCACAACGGGGAACCGATCGAGCACCGCCCTGGTCTCATGCCTCGACCGAGCACGGCCCTGGTCTTACAGGCGCATAGGGGAGATTACCCTAACGGGGTCCGTTTTAACTACGGGGATAACCGTTCGACGACCGACACAGCTCACATCGAAGGGTACATGTTACACATGCATACTTTGATCAAACCATAAGGAAACAATAATAACGGTAATAACAATTACAACATAGCCAATTTTCAAATTAAACCCACCTGGTCCGGCATTAACAATGATGCAAAAGCTCATGATAGATTCGAGGGCTCGACTCCTCGGATATCCTAAAATTAAGCGAGATAATTCTCTTTAAGCACTTCTGCAAAATAGTGAAACTCGAAACTCTCGGAAAAAGGCTCACAAAAAGGGTCACGAGGCTAAACTAAGGTTCCGAGTCCACAAAATTTCACAATTTAATCACACCAAATTTAC